AATAAAATAGTGATATCGATATATATTTTCTGTCATTAGCAAGATATGCATATTATTATACAATCGCTTATAGCTGAAATCAAAAGCTTATTAAATAGGCCAAACAATTATTTGGTCAATTTTTTACTAGATGTTTCAAAATTTATAAGAACAGCTGTAATATAAACATGTGATGTAACATTAATATTTAGTAGTTATAATTCTGAAAATGGTAGGTTTCTATTGAACTAGATATACTCCTGAAAATGTGATAATATTGTGCCAAGAGATAGTGAGTAGTTGCTTATGTGGCTTAGCACTAGCTGGTAGTTTTCCATCTGTATAATGCTGGCTGGCTGTTAGTATAAACATTGATATTGTTATTTGTAGTTATATCTGTGCAGTTTAGCACTAGCCCACCTGCATAATGCAGGCCGGCCATCAATATCAGCATATGCTTTGCAGAAACATAGATTTTTTTAATAATACAAATACTATATTGTAATATTATAATTTTAATACTATAATAAAATCTATATAGTTTTTATATTATTATTATATTATAATAATACAATTTTAATATATTAAATTTTATTATAATAATACTAAAAATTATAATTAAATAAATAAAATTAAAGTATTTTTATAATATATTTATAATACAATTTTAATATATTAAATAATATTATAAAAATATTAAAAATTATAAATAAATAAATATAATTAAAATATTTTTATAATATATTTACAATACTATTTAAATATATTAAGTAATATTATAATAATACTAAAAATTATTATTAAATAAATATTTTTACAATATATTTATATTGCTATTTTAATATATTAAGCTATATTATAATAATATAAATAAGTAAATCAAATTAAAATATTTTTATAATATAATTATAATACTGTTTCAATATATTAAATTATATTATAATAATATTACAAATTATATTTAAATAAATGAAATAAAAATATTTATATAATGTAATTATAATAGTATTTTAATATATTAAATTTTATTACAAATTATAATTAAACAAATTAAATAAAATATTTTTATAATATATTAATATTAAATTATAATAATACTAAAAATTATAATTAAATAATAAAATTACAATAAAATATTTTTAGTATATTAATTTTAAACCAAACTTTGTTAATTATCTACTTTTACAAACAAAATTTAATATTAGTAATTAAAATTATAAATAGGAACCCCCATAGCAAAACAAGCCAGTAAGTAAAAAAAATTTTTTTTTAAAAAACTCAATTTCTCGAAGAATTAAAGTATTAGAAATACAATTTTTATAAAATTACAAAATTAAAATTTTTTGCCTACTAGTTTGTTTTGCTGTGTGGGTTTCCAAATATAAAATATGCATACTCTTCAAAGTTTATTTTTTGGTAATATGAACACTTGACTATATATCTATTATAGGTTTAAAATTAGTCTAAAAACTATTTAAATGGCTGTGATTTCATTAGTAAAATTATGAGTAATTCTGGTCTAATTTTTTGATTATTGCTCTTAGCTAACCAAAATTAAGGAGCCGCAGAATAGATTTGTAGATTAACCCTAGCTACTACAACAATTTTGAACTAGCAAATTCTCGATTTTGATTGGCTAAAAGTGATAATCAAAAAATTAGGCCAGAATTACTTATAATTTTACTAATGAAATCATAGCCACCTATTAAGTGAAAATTGTTTCTGGATCAATTTTAGCATAACGCGAGCTTATTTTTATAAAAAGTTTTATTTTTGTAATGAAAAAATTAAAAAGTTAATTCTGGTCAGAAATTAATAAACAATTTGTAATGTGGGCCAAAATTTTGAAGATCCTCAGCTATTAGCCAATCAAAATTGAGAATCTACTAGTCTAATTTTGTTGCGGTAGCTATGGTTAATGATTTGTAGCATTAACTCTAGCTGCTGCAACAAAATAAAACAGCAGATTCTTAATTTTGATTAGCTAAGAGCAACGATCAAAAAATTAGGCCGGAATTACTCATAATTTTACTAATGAAATCGCAGCTGCCTATTAAGTGAAAATTGTTCCTGGGCCAATTTTACTATAATGCGAGCTTATTTTATAAAAATTTTTATTTTTGTAATAAAAAAGTCAAAAAGTTAATTCCGGCCAGAAATTAGTAAACAATTATGTAATGTGGGCCAAAATTTGAAGATCCTCGGCCGTTAGCCAATCAAAATCGAAGATCTGCTGTGACAATTTTGTTGCGGCAGCTATGGTTAATCATAGGCAGAAATTCGTTTAATTGGTTAATTTTTGTAGATCTACCCGTGATTATTAGCCAATCAAATTCATAGCTTTATTACAATATTGGCATTAACTCTTAACGAAAAACTGCAAGAAAATGAAAGCCTTATTATATGTAGGAAGAAAATGCATAAATCAAAAATATATATATTCGAAAATACAGTATGCTATAAACGTATAAAGAAAATATAATAAAGAAATTATTACTTTTAACAAGCTTAAACACTCTATATTTCATTGTATATAAACCAAGATCTTTAACAAAACTTCATACGTTTCAAGAACTAATCTAACTTAAAGCCTATCTTATACATTATATTAGACCTCTTTATTAAAAACCTTGTTTTGTCTAAAAACCTAACTTAAGATCTTTTAATCTTAAAAAAAAGAAAAATATGTATTTCCGTTAGAAACTGTTTCTATTTAGCAGTTTAAAATTTAGAAAAGGCTCTTTTTTCTTTACCTAGTTCAAAAAGTTGTTATTAAGCCAGCTCCTCTTAAATTAGAGATTATTAGAGATTATTTTTGAAGTTAGCTTTCTAGCAACTCTTCGAAGCTAGAAACGATGTTTGTTAAGGGTAGTTACTTGTGTAATGTTACGTTCTTAAAAAGTACTCTAAACCATATAAATAAGTTACCCGGTCAATTGATTTGCATTAGCCAATCAGACGAATTTCTGCCTATGATATGGTTAATGATTAGTAGCATGACCAAAATTCAGCAGATCGGCCCGAATTTAGGGTCGGAATAGGCCGGAATTGATAAAATTTTTCCAAATTCTCCCAAATTTTACTAATAAAATAACAGCCTATATATTAAGTAAAATTGCTCAGCTACTGATTTTGCTATAGTATAGTGCTAGTATGGTTAGCCAGTATTATTGCCTAATGCCGGCCAAGCTTCGGCCTATTCCGACCCTAAATTCGGGCCGATCTGCTGAATTTTGGTTGTGCTACTAATCTATTCTTTTTGAACGGCAAATGAATTAGGCATTACTAAATTTGGAGATCGTCTAAAGAATTACAGGTTAACTTTCTGAATTTTATTTTTCTAAAATATCATTTCACCGAAGCCATAATACTGACACCAACAAGACATAATTTTGATATCTCATTTCCCCGATGTATCTCTAATTAGTAGCAAAATTTTCCCGGTAACTACTATTTCTCCTATATTATTGGCATAATAGCCTATTTTACCGACATGTTATTTTTCATTTGATACTTTTTTCTGACATTCCGAAACTATATTGCTAAAGCTCTTTTATGACGGATGTTCCACTGAATTTAAATACAACAAATAAACTTCATCACGGCGACATTTTGGAATTGGTCTAAATTCAAAACTCTCAATTATTGTAATGTTACGCACCAACCATATAATACATCTAGTAAAATAAACACCAGCTCTAATAGAATTTTTTCGAAGAAAAGGCTGTCAGAAATAGTTCTTACCGGAGAAATGAGATTCAGAAAAAAGACCTTGTCAACAAAAAGGGCTATCGTTAAAATTCGTGTCAAGATTATCAGATTAATGCATTCAGTAAAATTTTTTATCGGTAAAATGGATTGACAAAATATGTCTTACTTGAAAATAGGGTCATCAGTATTATAGACTTAGAAATACTTCGATAAAGTGGATTTGGAAAGTTGAACAACAATGCGTCTAAAGCCGGGTATATAGTAATTTATACTGTATGAAGCACGTGATTTAATTTACAAATTTGTTAGTAATCAACTTAAACTAGACTTTTGTAAAAAAAATAAAAATTATGGCAATGTCATTAACAACTACTGTAGATAAAAATAATATACCGGGTGTTCCAAAAGTTCCTATACAGGGTTCCTTTTTTTAAAGTGACTTTATATATAGAGATCACGATAATTATTTATGCAACACTTAAAAAAAAAGGGACCGTGTATAGAAACTTTTGGGACACCCGGTATATATATCTAAAACAACAAATCAACATACATTTGTTATTCTCGACTAATGAACTATTTATTGACTTCTTTCCAGTTATTATATATTATCTATCAATGTCGTCGTTAATTATTCTTACGTATGATTTTGTCATGTGACTTACACATCGACAAATAATCGAATCATTGAAAGATGGATATTCATCGCTAAAATTCTATTTATATATTCAAAAAATATAATAGGTAAACAGATGCAATTCTAATTGAAATAAATTTACCTCATAGTTGATAGTTAAACAGTTCATTGTTAAAATTTTTTTTTTTTAGCCGACTTTGTCTTTTGATATAGCAATAAAAAATTTTATATTTTAATGTTACATCATAGAACTCAGTGCAGTTTACGTAATTAATGCAAGATCAATCTGATTTTCATATTTGTAATGCATAAAAAATATGTAATGAGGCGTAGCAAAATTGAATAAATAGAAGAAAAGTTAATTAAAATTTTAATTATATTCTCAATAATTAATCGGATAAAAAACACATACCCATAAAGTTTATAGAAGGTTATTGAATTGAACGAAGAAAATATAAACCAGTGTACTAAGATTTTATTTAATTTGTATTAGGATCAATATGGTTAAAACGCGACAAAACAAAAAAAAAAACAAAAGTAAGAAATAAACTTGTCTTTATTATTATTCTTATTATATTATTTTTATTGATTTAATTTTTAATCATTAGATTCTAAATCTTCTTTGAGGCCTATCGATAATTCAGTTGAAAATCTTGAGGTTCAAACTACTGACATGATCATTATAGAAAGCCAGAGAGAAATAAGTCCAGATCGTACTAACATGAAAAGGCGAAGAGGAAATAAAGAAGCCATCTTGACTAGTGGCGACAATGGTATACTATTATTGTATAATTTTATAACATAACATACAATAATAAATTTGTTATTTAATTTAGATATGATTCAAAAGGACAATTCACATTCTCATATGTCCAAAAATACAAATGAACAACCTTTAAATATCTCATCTTCAGTCAGAAATAATTCATCTGAAGATTTTTATGGCCAACAATCGTTGACATCTAATGACACTTCATTTTCTTCAGACAGAAGCCCAAATGAAGATGCCGATTTGATTAGTGGCGATAATGGTATACAAAAGGATAATTTACGTTTCCATACGTCTAAAAATACCATAAGACAAAATGAGCAAACTTTAAATATCTCGTCTTCAGTCAGAAATAATTTACCTAAAAGTTTTTATGACCAACAATCGAATGACATATCTTCTTCAGACAGAAGCCCGTCACCCGAAAGTGCTCATGATCGGCGATCACCATTTCTATTAAATAGAAACCGTTCAAAGTCGACCAATATCGCATCACCTACCTTAATTAGAAAGAGTTCTTTTGAAGAGGATTATGATCAGCAACCATCAGCATTAAACGCGATTAATACCTCATCTTTAATTGGCCTATTTAAGAATGATCTGAAGTTTGCATGTATCTAGTACAGCACCCACAACTTGTTGAATTAGCATTGAATATGATGAAAGTGGGTGGTGGCCAGGAATTCATTACTCAGGGAAAGGCGGCAGATAAATTTAATGCACTTTCTGAAAAGGTAGATATTACAGTATATACCTACAACTGTTTTAATATTGGTAAATTAAATGTTTAATTTCTTATTTAATAGGATCTTGGCACTTTTCAAATGCATTTGAAGTGTCTTTTCTTTCGCACGAGAGTCGTCAATAAACAAGTTATCGACGCACTATTAAAATCTTTATTCCCGAATATTCAAAATAGTGCGTCGGATCGTACAGCGCTACAAAAATGGGCTTTTTCATGCTTTCGTGATTATAATTTTTCATTAAGACGAGAACTTAGAAAACTTGTTCCAGAATTTATCAGGAAAAATAAGTAAGTTACAAATAATACTTGCTGTTTATTTACAAAAAAAAAAAAATAAATAATAAATAATAATAATAATAATAATAATAATTAACTAAACATATTTTAGATTAACCAAAACAAATCAGCCAACGACACGACAAATTACCGAATATATCACTGAAGACAACTGGACAACTTTCTTGAAACGCCATATGGATGTGACAGATGTGCAAAAAACGTTTGAAGAACAGCGTGTAAATGTTAACATGTTTACCGATTTTATAAAATCAGCCTTTGATCTCTTTGTTCAAGAAGAACTTTTGGACAAAGATGTTATCAATGACGTTAAAGACCTGAATTATAAGACGGT